CTTTCTTGCAGGATGCAATGTTTCAATCTCAGAGAAAACTGATACACAACACAAGGAAGGATACAACTATGTAGAACACAGCTATCCTGAAGCAGATCTTCTCAAAGTCATAATATGTCTAACCCTATCCAGATTCAGAAAAGCTTGCCTCATTTCTTTTCTCTCTGTGTAAAGTCTGGTCTAGACCTCTTGTAATAATAATTAGGAGGAATTTTTTTCTAAGTGGACTATTTTGTAATCTCTTATTTGTGATTTAAAATTTAGTGTGTGTGTGTGTGTGTGTGTGTGTGTGTGTGTGTGTGTGTGTGTGTGTGGTGTAAGCATGCATGCCACAGTGCATACATGGAGGTCAGAGAACAGTTTCCAGCAGTCAGCTCTCTTTTTTCTTTTATGTGGGCTCCCAAGTTTGGTCACAAGTACCTTTACCCTCAGAACCATCTTGTCAAACTCGGATTTGTGATTCCTTTGTGATTTCAAGGAAAACTGCAAGTTTCCCGTTTCAAAAATGAGATTTAAAAAGATTTTCCTAGCCTATTAAAGAGTCTGTTGCTATAGAAATAATTGTGGCAACACACTAGGTAGGCTCAGTGTCCTACATGGAGAATGACCCTGGAAGAGTCAGGGAGACACACTTTAGAAACTGCTCTTACCCAAAAGGATGGAGACCATTGGTCTCCCATAGCTTGGAATCTACTTAAGTCATTCTCTGTGCTTTACTCTGTATTGTTTTGTTATCATAAATCTAGACATTTCTTTCCTCAATTACTCAGTCATTGGTCTCACTGCTCCACTGAACATTTACTGAATACTCTTTAGATACCATGAGTACCGAAATGAATGAGCTGTAACTTTCAACTTAACAAGCTCACAACCAAGACAGTCTCTGTACAAGAAAAATACCTTTGTCTGTTAAACCTAGGAATGCTTGTTATACCAAGTTAGGAAATAGTTGACATCTTCCCCCTGAGAATGAACACAGCTACAAGCATAACTAGCACTTAATTATGCTAATACGAATAAGAAGGGACCATCTTTATCATTAATGTAGCAGCTGTTAAATGATACTGATAATCACTGTTGGGGTGTCAGTTAGAATGGCTCAAGTTTCAGGTTTCCAGGATATACTTGCACAGCAGCTCGTGACATGCTTTACTTCTGGCTCTTTGCCAGTCTAGCATTTCCTACTCAATGCTTTATTCTACTAGTATATAGTTTCCTCTCTGGCCTCTCTTTCCCCCTCCAGCCTACCACATAAAATGTTTGTGGATCAATACTCTAGAGAAAAATCATACTATTTTCTTATTTAGAAAACTCCAGGAATTCTCTGTTGTTCTGAGTGACTTTTTTTTCTGAGCTAAGCAATTGCCATCTTGGATGCTCAACTTTGCCTGCTTGCAAAAGATCACCTCAGCTGGGCTTGTTGACTGTTTCCACCTCATATGAAGGGTTGAAGAGGACTGAAAAACCTTGTCCTGAGGATCCAGCTGCTCCCTTCTTATTGTCTACAGCTCTGCCTCAACTGCACACAGACTCTGGTAGAGCTAGGGCATATAGACAAAGGAAGACAAGAGATGTGGCTCCCTCTATATGGCTACCTGGGAAGCTCTCATCCCTGCTGGGGTAAGGCTTTTGGGGTGTGTCTGGTTGTGGGAGCACCTACACCCCTGTAAGTAAGCCCTTGTTTATGCTCTGTAAGGAAGCACAATAAACTCACTGGTCCCTAGAGTAAACTTTGAGGTAACCATGCCTTGGCTACTAGGCTCTTAGCAGAAGGTTAGACATTACTTACATCTTCTGGGAAGGAATTGTAGCAAAATTCATTTTAAAAAAAATAAAGACTTGTAATTAGTCCAAAACTCTGTATACTAGGCTTCACTTTACTCATCCAGCTCCACTTCTTACCCTGAATTAGTTACACTGTTTTATACATCCAGAGCTTTCTTCACTCAAGCATTAGCAGTTCATCTGGTTGCAAAGTCTATCTCTTCTTTATCCTTCCATTTCAAATCCAGTTTAAATCCAGATGTGGTTCAGTGGTATAGAGTCAGAGATAAATAAATAAATGATTTGTAATAGCTTTTTCCTGAAACCTTCCCCAATTGCTATTGCTCACATCAGTTTTCTGAAATCATTGGCAATCATCAGTGTCAGGATTTAATTGTTCCTTGAATGATTCACCTCTATGGCTTCTCTTTTCAACTAGATTATAAACTGCACCCAGAGTAGCAAAGGCCACTCTAGAGTGGGCTTTGTGCCCTTTCATAGTTTTAGGCAGTCTTCACACAACCATTTTGTTGCTGGATCCTAATGGCTCCCTCAGAGGAGAGGGTGAGAAGGCATGGCATCAATGACACAGACACTGGGAGTCAGTTGAAGGCAAACAGCAGACTCATTTATTCAATAACAGAGAAGGCCTTTTATAATCTCCTCCAAGCACCCAAGCTGTGTTCCAATCAGGTGGCATTACATGGTCATCCCTCATTGGCTGGGCACAATCAGAAACTCTGACAGTGACCAGGTACTCTGACAGTGCCTGTTGCTAGGCCCTCAGGCAGACTCCAGGTTGACTCAAAAGGAATAAGTTATGTGCATGCCTTGGCAACTGGTTTGAGCCAATTTCCTCGACCCTATGGGCCTGTCCTACTATACCATTTGATGCTGAAACACTGAAGAAATAGTTGTGGAATAAATGAATACTACTAACTCCAAATATTTTCTTTTTATACCTGGTACCTGCCTTCTTAAGTTGTGTGTTTTCCCATTTCTCTCTCTCAAACTTCCCAATCACTAGCAACAGGATGAAAATGCCTTTTCTACTATGTGAAGGCATATGTATATGTGTATACACATACAACTGAAACCAAGATTTTACACAGCATATATTACTTATACTGTCCAATATATTCTAATGTTTTCTAACACATTAAAGAAAAACAAATGACAACAAAAATACCCATAAAGGTTAACAAGATGCTCAGCAGGTAAAGACACCTACTGCCAAGCCTGACAACCTGAGCTCAATCCCTGGGCCCCACAAGGTGGAAGGAGAAAACTGATTGCTAAAAGTTTCCCTCTGCCCTCTACAGGCCCACCATGGTATGCACTCCTATCTCCAATAAATAGACTTAGTGAAAAAAAAATCACTGATAATTATACATGTAGAGGATTTTACCACCACTAAAGAATTATAACTATAATATAAAAATACTCTCCTAGCTTGTGGTCCTGGTAGAAAATGTTCAAAGCAAAATACTGCTATATTGCTATTTTTTGTTCCTGAGAATTTGAACTTTCATTATGGCCTTCACATACTTGAGTTGCTTTCACCATATTGCCTCATAACACCTAGAATCAACTTCTTCCTTATTTCCCACACCCTTCCCTACTTCTTCCTTTAGAAATTTGGAACCCAGTTCAATAATGATATATAAAGCATCCTCTAGATTGCTGTTTCACAAGTTATATTGACAAATTTTGGTGATATATCAATAAAAATTTCTAGGTCTAATTTGTAACCAAATCTTTTGGAAATGAAATATGGGAAATAAGCTTGTTTGGGGATATAGCTTAAGAACATATGTTCTTTTGCCTGACGACCCAAAATCTTAATCACAGCTTTGCCAAATTATTTGAGTTTCCATCTCTCCATCCACACAACCAGGATAATATGAACTTTAAAGAATCGATGGATAAGTTAGAGTATTCAGATAGAGCTTGATGCAGTAGGTTCTAGGACACTCTCTTAGGGACAGAAGTATTGTTTTGTTCTCTTTAATAAGCATATCTGTAGCTTCATGCTGGTGTTATAATGTAAGGTTCAGTCATAAGGACAAAAATAAGATTTCTTTTTCTCTTTAAATATCTATCTTTTTCTTTTTCTTTTGTTTTTTTAAAATATCTATCTTAAGTTAGATAATTTATAATATAAAAATTCCACTGCTGATTTTATAGGCCATAGATATCAGAAAAAAAGGTTCTGATTGCAATGCCAGATTATATAAAGAATGCCTACTGAAACGGATTTGTCTAATCATGGTAACTTCGATTAAGGTTTTTGTTCAATGTTACTTTTCAAATTACAAACGTTGATGGTGATGTTTTGATTTAGGGAAAGAGCTCGGCGTGTAGACACATCGACAGAAGACTTGAACAGTATAAACTTGTTCTAGTTGCTTGTATGTTCCTTCTTATCAGTTATCCACACCCTTGTCAGGGAGGTCACACTACTTCCAGGGTAGTTTTCATTTAATGTTTGGCAATTAGGGGGAAATTAGCTTTCCATAGAAAGCTTTTCCCTTAACCTTTCCAGTTTAGCTTAGCAGAACAGGATCTCAGCAATACCCTCAGAAACCAAGGCGCAAGCTGGACTCTCACAGAGAAATCTCAACCTTTCCCTAGCATTAGCGAGCTGTGGTCTCTTGCTGAGTTATGTGTGAAGCAATTACATGCCTTTGAAAATTAAAAAAAAAAAAAAGTAGTATTTTCACCAATTCTTTGAGAACTTTATACAATTTTTAAAAATCATATTTATTCCCCAAATGGAAGCCTTTGACAATTTAATGGCTTCTGGGGACGTACCTTCTGGTCACATACATTCTCTGGTGCGGATGCGTGTTGGGGGACACATCTGCAATAGGGCAGAGCCGGAGAAGTGTCCGCTCAACTCCCTGGCGAGGAGTTGCTGCAGCCTCGCTCGCCGGCTGACAAGGGACTCCGGAAAAGGCCCACAGTGCGGGCGGGTCTAGCGACGCTCGCGATCGCGCTTTCGTCACATACCAGGTACCGGCAAGGCGTGAAGGCAAACCCTCCCGGAAACCGCAAGAGATGGGTCTCGGAGAGGCAGCGTAGGGGGCGGTTCCACAGCAGGCGAGGGTGGGGCGCAGGGCTTGGGGGCGGGGCCACGGCAGGCGAGGGCGGGGCGCAGGGCTTGGGGGCGGGGCCATGGCGGGCGAGGGTGGGGCGCAGGGCTTGGGGGCGGGGCCATGGCGGCGAGGGCGGGGCGGCGCTGTGGGGGCGGCCGCGCTTCGGGTGACAACGGTCAGAGATGAAGGTGGCCGCGGCGCAGCGGGAAGCTCAGCTGCACCCGGCGCGGTTGGCAGCCAGGCCGGGCCTGTAGGACCTCGGGGCCGGGGTGGCGGGATGGGGACCCGGCTCGGGTAGTGAGAAGGCTGCGAGCGGAACTTCAGCCAGAGGGGCTCGCCTGCTCCGTCCGGTCAGACTCGGCGTCCTCCTCCACCTGCCGCCGCTGGGCCCCGCGTCCGGCGGGCCACGACGGCGTCGGCGACGGCGGGGGCATGTGGCGCTGGGTCCGGCAGCAGCTGGTGAGTGAGGGCTTGGACCGGGCGGCGCGGGCTAGGCCGCGGCGGGGGCGCGCGGCTCTCCCTCGGCCTGGGCTCCCCACGGCGCGGGGAGGCGCTGCTGCCTGCGGCCGCTGCGGGTCGCGAGCAGCGCGGGTCCCGAGGAGACCCAGGCAGCGGCGCGGGGCGCGGGTCAGGCGGCCCTCCGGACTCCCAACTGGGCTCGTGCAGGTTCCGAGGAGGTCTGGGTCCTCCTCGGCCTCCCGGCGGAAGCCGGCCCCTGGGCCTAGGAGGAAGGAGCGCCGGAAGGTCCTCACCGCACACCAGGGCAACTTCTCTGTGCATCTGTCACCCCTCCTCGGGGCGGTTAGGACGCAGGGCTTTGGAACCAGTGGTTGTTAACTTTTGAACATTGCTGGGTTACCTAGAGAAAGAAAAACCTCAGGGCGACTTAAGTGTCTCAAAAGCGTCACCTTTCTCAGAAATTATTCACTGTTGAAAACCTCTTATGCCTCTTGGCACCTGCAGCCCAGGAAATAAAACGCCGAAGCAACAGTGATGACAGAAAAGAGATCACTTCAGTCCCAGGAACGCTAACCTCTGTACTGTTTTAATTTTGAAACCTTATCAATTGCAGTGTTTTTGTTTACTAGGTTTCAAGGCCGTGATAAACCTTAGCGAAGTAGAAACTTACTGTTTTGAGAGCAAAATATTCATACTTCTTTTCCCCTGCGGTAGAACAGCTTTTCATGTAAAAACTAACAAGTATGTATTTCAGTCAGCCTCTTGTTTATTTTACAGTAGGCATCAGTCTTAAATAAAGAAATCTTATAAATAAAACTAGAACTGCCCGCCACTCCCGCATACAAATGGTGGGTCTTTATTTTTAGCAACTGTTGCAAATTGAAGCATTCTAGCTTTATTGGGAATCCAAGCTAATGATGTCATTTGATCCACACTGTGAGACTGCTATGGCTTTCTTTCAGTAAACCGGTAGTACAGTAAAGAAATTAATTATTACACATCTGATGTGCTTCTGATTTCCCAGACGTCGCGTGAAGAAGGGCTTGGTTTAGCACCGTGTGTCCGATGGTGTTTTGTGTGGCCGGAAGATCATTTTTAAGTGGGTCTCTTCAAGTTTTTCCCAGTATGTTAAGACATTGTGTCTCAGTGTGAGGTACTTGTGTTAGCTTGACAGAAATCTGGTAATGTTGGGGGAAATGGCTTTCAATGTTCACAGCTGAAGGAAGAACCAGAGCTTTGTGGCCATTTATAAATCAGCTATCTTACTGGACTGATTAACAAAACAAGTTGAACAAGTTGCCTTGCATAAAAAGTACTATCTCTGATATTGAGCTGGCTGTCACTGGTTTAGCTTTTAAGATAATCAGGTCTTTAAGACCTGGGCCAGAGCAGGACTTTGTGTCGCTGACTAAGTTTGTGTAATCACTTAAATTACAAATTAAGGACAGTGTGTACAGAGTAATGAAAGTATATTACATTGACTCAGTAGTAAATGGCCATTCTAGCTGCTACACATAATTTAATTAAAAAGTCTAGTTTAGATTATTCTAATTTGTACTCACTGGGTTGAGTCACAAGTATTAGGTTAATTGTAAAATTCATAAATAGAAAAATGTGAGGAAATCGATAAATCACAAGGACAGGCTGTTTTGCAGTTACAAAACACTTTATGAATTCTGACTTTCAACTAATACTTTCACTAAAAAAAGATACTTTTGTTTTAAAATTTTTTTTATTACTGCTTATTTTGTGTGTGTGTGTGTGTGTGTGTGTGTGTGTGTGTGTGTGTGTGTATGTAAAAGTGTGCAAGTAAGTCAGGACAACTTGTGGGAATCATTTCTTTCCTACCTTGTGGGTCCCAGGAATCCAGCTTAGGTCCCCAGGCCTGGTGGCAATCTCATTTGCCTCCTGAGACCTCTCACTTACCTTACTGCCATTATATTACAGAGACAATTCTATGTTCTATTTCTTTATTTGCAATTGAAAATCTCTACAAAATGTTTTTGCTGCCTGACATGAAAAATCATGACAAAAACTGATTATTTTCCCTTTATGAAAATAGTGAAAGCATGTTTCTATTGTTTCTATTTCACACACAAGGTTCAGACTATTTTATGCTGAAAGTGATGTCTTTCTGGTGTATTTTGTATTCATAGTGTACCCCTTTTCAATAATATGCTGTATGAACTCATTATTATGTCATTAACAGCATCTCAGTTATAATAGCATATGACCATTCAGTGCCTGCTGTATTATTATTATTATTATTATTATTATTATTATTATTAACCATTATCTTGCTAGTGCTGGCAGTAAAGCCCACAGCTTTACACATGCTAGTGGTAGTTGTTGACCACATGCAGCCGTTAAAGTTTATGTTCAGAGAAGAATATTTTCAATAGCATATTTATTTGTACAGTGCTGAAACAACTTTTAAACAAAAATATTTTTAAACAAATATATTTAGATGATATATAAGGTTTCTTTACAGGACAACATAATACCATATTTTCATAGAACTGTGTGTAGGTATATGCTAATCCTGGTGATTCATGTGAAAGTGATGTGGCTTTTACTCATGACTGTTCTCAACACCTTACATTGAGCATTGAGTATGTTTTATGACTAGATGAGGAAATAATGAATATTATTTCTATGTTTTGCAATATAGTGATACAATTTAAGTTTGACCAACCCAGAAGGATATAGAAAATGACTAACTACACACAAGCACAACCTTGCAGGCAGGTGTTTCTTTAGCTGGTGACACAGGTCTGTAATCCCAGCATCTGGGAGGTGGAGGAAGGAGGATCATGAGCTGGGGGTAGGGTGCAGTTCTTACATTGTTCAGAAATGTCTCTTCAGCTTTGTGCTGGTGATTGGGACAGGAGGCTGAAGGCTGTCTTCTGCTTCACTGAGAAACTAGCAGGCTCTTAGCCAAACTCCCTCGATTTTACTATCTGACGCTTCTCCACCCTTGCGTGTGTCTGTCCGTGCCTACTTCTTCCGTTCTTGTGTGCTGTCACAGAAAGTGAAGCCCTCGTTTTCGAGTTACCCCGGTTCACCTGTGCTTTTGATGCTGCTCTTTCATCACACTGTTTATATTTCTGGTCAGTTCTCATGAAATTGTGGCCTTTCTCTTTACCTTTAGACTGTAAACACAATCAAGCTTCCCTCTGTTATCTTAATTTTCCCGGCACTGTGCCTAACTGCCAAATGTTCTTTAATTGGATAAAATTTTAAAAAGGTTTCTCCTACACAACAGTTCTGTCTAATATACTTGAAATGGGCCTGGTTCAGGTTGAAATTTTCTCAACTATAAAACATAATGGAATACAGAAGAAAAATGTGATATATCTCAATTATATCTATTTTTGTGACAGTAAGATGACTTAGCAGGAAAAGGTACTGATGTACTCAATTTGATCTCTGGGATCCACTTGGTAGAAGGAGAGAATTTTCTCCTGAAAGTTATCCTCTGACTTTTATATTTACGTGGTAACATGGGCCCATTATCTAACAATAAATAAATATAATGAAAAATTGAATTATTTTTAAAATACGACTATTAGAAATTTAAAAATAATATATGCTGCTTGCATCTGTTGCTCATATTTTATTTTTACTAGTACTGCTGTATGACATTAAAAGTAAGCTTTGGTTTCTGTGGAGCACATTAAGTCTGTATATCTCTATAAGATTCTTTTTTCTTGGTTTGTTGTTGTTGTTGTTTATTCTTTCATATTTAGATCCTAACCACAGTTTCCCCTTCCTCCTCTCCTCTCAGCTTCCCCTCCCCTCCTGGCTGTGAAATGTTATTTTAACTGGACAAAGATGTGTTACATTTGTTTATGCTGCAAAATATTACTTTAGCTGTATAAAGGTGTGTTACTTTTGTTTATGCTGCATTTGTTTAACTATGTAAAGATGTGTTGCATTTGTTCCACCTCACCTGCCTAAGGCACCCGATTGGTCTAATAAAGAGCTGAACAGCCACTAGGTAGGCAGGAGAAAGGATAGTCAGGGCTGGCAGGCGGAGAGAATAAATAGGAGGAGAAATCTAATCTACAGAGAGGAGGAACAAGAGGAGGAGGAGGAAAGAATGAGGAGATGCATGGGGCCAGAAGCCAGGCAGCTGCCAGACAGACAGACATGAGAAGCAGTGAAAGTAAGATATACAAAAGAAAAGGAAAGTAAAAAGCCCTGAGGCCAAAGGTAGATAAAGAGAAAAAGGTTAATTTACGTTAAAAGAGCTAGCCTGAAATGTGCCTAAGCTGGGATGAGCATTCAAAACTAAAAATAAGTCTCCATGTCATGATTTGGGAGCTGGTTGGTACCCCAAAACAAGAAGCCTAGTACACTCCCCAACCTTCCTTCTCCCCTTAGATCCACTCCTTCTCTCATTTCCCTTCAGAAAAGGACAGGCCTCCCGGGAATATCAACCAAATATGGCATATCAAGTTGCAATAAGAATAGGCACATCCCCTCATATTAAGGCTGAATGAGGCAACCCAGTAGGAGGAAAAGGGTCCCAAAAGCAAGTGAAAGAGTCAGAGACCCCTGCCTGCTCCCACTGTTAGGAGTCTCACAAGAACACCAAACTACACAACCATAATATATATGCAGAGGGCTTAGGTCAGACCTATACATGCTCCCTGATTGTCAGTTCTGTCTCTGTGAGCCCCTGTGAGCCCAGGTTAGTTGATTCTCAGGGTTTCTTGTGGTGTCCTTGACCCCACTGGCTCCTACAATTCTTTCTCTCCCTCTTCAGCAGGTTTCCCCAAGCTCTGCCTAATATTTGGCAGTGAGTCTGCGTCTGCTTCCATCAGTTGCTGGATGAAGCCTCTCTGATGGTGATTATGCTAAGCTTCAGCCTAGAAATATAGCAGAGTATTATTAGAAATCATTTCATTGACTTTTATTTTATTTTTCTGGTTGTGGTCATGTTTGGTTCTGTCCTAGGTCTCTTGGGTCAGAAAGGTTTTAGTTTTGTTGTTGTT